TTTTCTCCCTTCCCTCTGTGATTGATGCCTCCGCGCCTTTGCTCGTGCTGCTTCCTTTGTGACCCCCGATCCATCCGAACCTGCCGGCCGGCGCATCTTTTACAGCACTGTCGCAAAAGCCATCTTATCCTCATTTCCTCTGAGCAGCTTTTCTTGTTCTCCTGCCCGGCGTCCCTTTTCTGTCCATTAACATCTCACAGATTCTTATTTATGTCACCTTTAAGCACCCATATTTTCATTTTCTACACACATCTCTCGCCATTAGATGGTAGCATTTCTAGGATGGTGGTGTGTCTTGCTCACCTTTGACTCTCCCATCGTGCTCGGCACAGAGCAAGGCTTCCTGGGAGACGGAGAGACAGAAGGAGAGAGAGAATGAATATGAATCTATTAAATATATTGAAATACCTCTCTTTGATGCGCTCTAGAGGTTAGACTTGGTAGAGTTCAAGGGGATGAAGAAGGGGATGTCAGTCTTTTCCTGTAGTTGGAGTCTGACGAAACAGAACACAGGTCTCTCTTCAAACTTCGTGTCAGTGTGTAGGTCAGGCTGCCTGGGTTCAGGGGACTTCATTGCTTCCTGTGTGTGGCAATAAATGCAGAACCTCAAAGTTCACTAGGCCTCTCACATTTTCTTTTCTGCCAAGGTGCCTCACTGTGCCACTGACCCCTAGCCATGGCAGAGGAGCTGGCCGTCGCTCTCCTCAGGCAGTTCAGCTGCATTAGAAACTGCCCCACAGCTTCCCTGCGGGCACTCGGAGTCCCCGAGGGGCATCATCCAACACTCACACTCACTCCCCACAAAAACATCTGTCTAAACGTTCTCCCTTTCCTTCCCTTCAGTGATTACATATATTTTGGTGGTTGCTACATTTGAACTAGACCTTGAATCTGTCTGCCTACTTTTAATTTTCTAGTTTGTCAGATTTGGGTGATTTTAATGATACGGTTTTCAACTTAAAGAAACCTCAACTGACAATGGTACACATACTTAATATCTTAATATCTTTTTCTTCAGTTACATCCTTTTCCTAAAACAAGGAACGCTCCAAGCACTCTGTTCAAAACTGTGTGACCACCTTGTTAACACAGTGGTCAGATTTGATTTTATAGTTGAAGGTTTTTACAGACTCAAAATGGATTTATGGGGAAATATCATGATCCTTTTATCCAGACACATCTCTTATTCCTTCTTACTGAGAAAAAGAAACAAAACAAAACATGACATCTTGGGGACAACAGAAGTGGAAATTCTGTTTGGCTTGCAGGAGGTCAGTTACATGCATTTCTGAAGACAAAAAAAAAAAAAAAAGTCTGAGTTCCCCCCGGGAACCCTACCTGCACAGTGGTGAAGAGCAGATTTAATGGGTGATCTCTGCCACTGTCCCTGTTCACTCCCTCATGCTCCCCACAGAGTCCCCACTAGAGATAGATTCCAGTGTCCTCAGAGGCCCTGTAAAAGTCTTGCTTATAAAGCAAGAACTGTTCTTGAGCCATCCTCCCAACTGATCATACTGGGGCAGGACTTACACGGCCTAAGTGAAGGATTTTACAATTAGCAATGCATATGGTAAGTAAGTAACACAGAAGAATGGGATTTTCTGGATATGGGATCAAATTCTGATCTGGGATTTTCATACTTACCACTGTAGCTAAGGCCAAACTAAGACTGTAGGATAATGGGAAGAAATACAAGTAAAAAGAGGAAAAATATGATCAGATTAGTACAAATAAAATGGTGGAAGCTTCTAATAGGAATGTTCATCCATAACATTAGGAAAATAGTCGATGATGATATTGCTCTTGTAGGTAAGATGGCTGCTAAAAAAAAAACGAAAATCTTCAGAAGCAGCCAAATAATCAATAATTTGATTTCTAATAGTCATGTTTGCCATGAGGACTTTTACAGTGAGATTACATAAGCAAATTGATTTCCCTGTTGACTTTATCAGAAAATCATCAAATGCCCCTAAATCTCCCCTCCAGAATCCTCAAAAAAATGCCTATAATAATCTTCCCAGAGAATTATTTTCTGGATTTCCTGATTTCCTGGAGCTTTTCCTGTGGCATTTGATTATTGCTACTGTAAATAACGCCAGAATTATAATTAAGAAAGATATGAATGTGATATAATAGCATAGTAAATACAGTTGTATATAATTAATTACCACATTGCCCCCTTTACTTGATTTTATATTCATGTTGAAAGCTCTTAACTGTGCATGTATAATTGATTCGCTATGGTATATGTGGTTGTTTTAATAAAAAGTTGCAATTGAGGTTTTTGTTCAACAGTGTAACTCCCTTATTCCACTTTTTCTTTGGGAAAATCGAATTTTACTGTCACATCATTTCTGGAACTACATCCTGTTATAGGTGAACACTCTGCCTATTTTAACTACCATATGGAAGATGAGTCAGACTTTCTTTCTTCCTTCCCTTGTTTTCCCTGTGTCCTTGAATTTTCCCACAAGCTACATTTCTATAGAATTAATTTCCCCAGGCACCATTTCTTCCATTTGATGACTTGGGTACTCAGAGATTCCCGGGTTTTTGTAGTTTTAATATCCTTTTTTTGTTTTTTCTTTTTTTCTCTTTTTTTAAAATGCTAACACACTCTCTCACTGTTGCTCTCGTTTTAAAAACCAGACTAAACTTTGAAGCAGTTTTAGGAGCCTATGAAAGTATGAAAGGCCTCCTGGGATATTTTGAAATCAAGAAGGCAAAGTTTGCTTCATGCCTGAGGAAGGCAAAATATCCAGTTGTTAGCCACATAGCAGTTTTGAGTGACTGAATTATTTGTATGCTACACCTTTCAAATGGCAAAATTTAGGTCTGGCAAACAATAGAGAACAGAATGTAATACAGACCTTTTCAGGTTTAGTAAACTTGCTATGGTCAATGGAGAACTGTCTTCACAGAGAAAGGAAAGCAAAAAAATGCCATGATTCCTCGGCTCACCTAGCATGCTTGTTTCTGATGTCACCAGGATGGTAAAACCATCATAGGAAATCCTGCTATATGTCTGTGATGACCAGTGCAGCCCAAGCACGCAGTTCCACTAGGACTCACATTTCAGCATCTGTCATCAGTCACTTAGTCTTAGTACCTTAGCATACTCTTCATGCCCTTTTTTTTTGTTCCTTCTTGACCTACCTACCTATTCACGTGTGAAAGAACACTCGCCCGCCCCCCCCCAACCACTGAGAGGTTTGACAGGTTATTTCATCTACTAGCTTCCTCCTTATCTCTCCCACATCCTGTTCGTGCCCTAGGAGCAGGTAAATTCACTACCGGGTAATTAGAGTCCATCATTTTCAATATGTAACTTTCTATGGAGACTTCTTAAACCATATCAAAGCAAAGCAATAGGCTGAATAGAGCAATTAATAAAGAGTATTTCACTGAACTTCTAAAAACTTACATTTCTCCCATACCAGTGAGTGAGAGGCACGTAGAGAATGGCTTTATGCAGGGGTATTTCTCAAATCTGTTCAATTTAGTCTAACATAGAATGGGCTGGGGAGGAAATCAGTAGATTCACATAGCTAGACAATACATCACATCATACATTTTTTATATAAACATGTATATATACATAGTTTTATATAAAACTATTCCTGGACAGATCCTTCTAAAACAAACACTACAACAAAACTTTCTTATTAATAGACATCAGAGGATCCTCATGTTCATCCTCTGTTCCATGCTGGTTTAACACAGCCACACCATGTGACCATCACAGATCTGTGTGGGTGACTTAGCTCTTACCAAAGATGACCAACAGGACTTGGGCCAGATTGGTAGAAATTTTATCTCTAGATGTGCTCAACAAAGGAAACAAGAAGTCTGAGCAGTTTTCTGTAAAACAGAAAATCAAAGAAAAGCAGATGATGCCAAAAAGGAAAAAAGAAATCTGGCAAAGGAATTTGGTATTTTTCCCTCAGTTATCTGTGTTAAAAAGTTGCAAATCCTTTTCATCTTTTAGATGGCGTGTGTCAGGGTTAACTCGAAAAATTTGGGCCTTTTACAAGTATTGTTAAGAAATTTGAAAGTAAGCAAGAGTCTATCTAAAAGTTCTGGTAAAAAGAAAGAATGTGAATAAATATTGGGAGTTTGTGGTAAAGAAGTGAATTGCAGGACACCAAAAGACCAAATGCACATTTGGGTTTATAAGCCGATAAAACAGCAAAGCCACTGAGTTTTTTTCTCACTAGAGTGAAGCTCTTAAATATAAATATAAAAACCAAAAATATAAAAACCAACAACAAAACTTTCATGAACTGTGAAAGGATAGTAAACTGAAGTGTGGTTTTAGTGTGATATCTTGGTTTACACGGGTTCTTGATAGTTTGTGCCTTAACAGAAAGGTTCTAGGATGGGAAGACTACAGATGTTAATATTTTAAGCACATCTTGTGCTTCATAGAGATTCTAGAAACTCTCCCGAAGCCTATAAAGACAGCTGGTTCTCAGTGGTTTTCCACCTCCTTTCTGGAGAAGCCGTTAATTCCTTTTTTAAAGACTTCTCTTCGATATTTAGCTATAGAGGCACAGGACTATTTCATGATTTTTGGGAGTGCCATAGTGTGAAAAGCAAGGTTGTAAATTGAACTGCTCTCCTCCCCTTCCTACCTAATCTCTTTCTCCCTGTGCTCTAAGGACTAGGATATCTCTTTCCGGCCCCAGAGCTCATGTTTAACTCCGAAAGTATACTTTGCAAATGTCCTGCATGTTCTAATTTGTATGATGGAAGGAGAAAAGAACTCATCTGAGCACCAATTTGACATTGTTTTATTCCAACAGTCTTTAGAACCCAACACCCCTTCCCTTTTATGACTGTCTAAAATGCCCTCGCTAGCCAGATCCCTTTGCTAGCTCCAGTGTTTGCACATTTCCTTGTTAATCAGCTGCGTAGGCTCGGAGACTGTGTGTTTTGGTGTTGTTTGTGTGTGCAATCTCGTGCTGCTTCCTGAACGCATGTGTCCCTTCCCTTCACAGCCTACTCGACACCCAGCACCTCCCCCGCAAACCGATTCGTCAGTGTTGGACCACGGGATCCAAGCTTTGTAAATATCCCTCAACAGACACAGGTGGGCCGCTCTCATCTTTTCTGTATGTGGTGCAGCTTGTTTTATTCATCAGGTGCATTGTAACTTGTCTTTTGGCACAACAGGCTGCATTTCCCAGCCCCTGTTCGGTCCCCTTTCCTCCCAACCCCAACCTTCCCGGCCCTTCAGCCACATTTCCCTGTGTCCTCAGAAATCGTGGAAAACGCTGTCTGCGATTTTTGTGTCTCGTATTGAGGGGGTAGAGGAGGAAGGCTTCTGTGCCAGAACTCCTTTCGCTATGGCAAGAAAGGCTTCCCAGGGCTAGATAGTGTGTTCCCTCATCTAGGAACTCGTGTCTCTCTACTTGCAAGCGGACAGAAGTCCGCCCCTGCCTGGAAAAGTCAGCTCTGGCCACCCGTGAAATCAGAGTGCATCCTGGGAATGGGGAGCCAGCCGCTCTTCTGTTTTCGTTATAGGGTCGCCAGGAACCTGAAAGAAAAGAAAAGAAAGGGTTCATGAGTCCTATTAAGTTGCTGGTGTTGGTGCAGGAATAGGTGCTGTTTGTTACTGGCTATGCTGGTCACTAGGGAGCAAGGTGCGGTGGGGCGGGAGGGGAGGTGTGTGAATATAATGTCATGTGTTGAGGTAGGTGATTGAGAAAAGATGATACTAGGACATCTAGAGCTTGTTTTTCGGTTGATAGGTGTGTTTTGTGCTAGTATAGGTCAAAGAGAAGAAATCTCTTTTATTTTTTTTTCCAGAAAACATTTTTTATTTTGCAAAACTGAGGCTCTGTACCCATAAGCAATAACCTTCTATGTCCCCTTCCTCTTTTAAAAAGTTTTGAAATGGCCTGCTGTTAGACACAGTGAGAGACTCTTGGAGTTCAAAGGTAGTGGGTGCAGACATACTTAAGAAGTTTGTGAAAGAGAATTAGATTCAAGTTTTGAAAGGAACGACTCACTGATGTCCTAATTAGAATGTAACCATATACCGTCATAATCGACATAAAGAGAGTATTTTCTTTGTGAGGTTCTCAGTGTGTGGTTTGAAAAAAAGTCTCCGAGCTATTTGGTGCATATGCCCGGGTGTGTATCCTCCAGATGCCGAATTTGTAACTACTCATCTTTGTTTATAAGAACAGGACCAGATGCTTATCAGCAGGAGAGATTTGCCTTCCTGGGTCCATTTGCGTGCGCCCTCTGTAGAGGATTTTAGTTTATTGCTGTCGCCCGTGCAGGTGAGACTGCACTGCCTCTGAAGCCTTCCTTACGGGGATGCAGGGTCACGGAGAGTACAGCCTCGGAGGAGGCAGCTGGAAGGAGAGGGGGAGCAAGAAGGGAAGGCAGAAGGTTAACTCTTGAGTTTCCCACTTCTGCTGTTTCTCCTGAAACTGGCGTGTCCATGGCTTCTGGGATTAACATCTATTCAGGACCTCCCATGAAATCACTCCAGTGTATTGCTTATGGTCCCATACCTCCTAATGCTTAACTGGTGAATGTGAAGTTGAATAATCACCTCAAAGGCATGGACATTTCATTTTGTACTTTCGGCACATGTGTTCAAGTTCAGTGGGAAAGGAGAACCGGGGACAGTGGTCTATGTTGAATGATTGCTTTTCTCAAAGCCCCAGTGTGCTCGGGTTACTTCGTGAAGAACCTCAAAAATGCAGTTTGGAAATGTCCTGTTTGTCTTTTACATTGTATTTTTTTATGTAATCTGTGATTCACAGCACTGAAATGGTACCCCGTGTTCCATTCAATTTGTTTCTCTATAATCAAAACGTGTTATATTCCAGAATGGCTTTGTTTCACAAATGACTTATTTAACCCAGAAACTGAGTCTTCATGATGTTGACCACAAAAATTCAATTCTTGAAAATCCAGATTTTCCATGCATCTGGATGAATGATGTCATTTAGACCCAATTTTGGCATCTGGAACTGAATTTTTTTTGGTTTCTGTGAAATATTTGGCATCATAGGGACAACAGCTTAAATGTTTCTTATCACAGTTACACCTGCCACATTTGTCTTGAAGAAAGCCATCCCGAGTTGTCTTAGGAGAAGCTGTGCTAATGGAGTTGTCATTTTTTTTTTCAAAAAAATATGTATGTGTATATATCCTGAGGTAAAAGTTATGTGCTCAAAATATTTTAATTTAAGGTTTATATATTAACTCTTTTTTGAAAAATGGAACTACTTTCTGGAACCATTTAAAGTGTTAGATATACAGATATAGGTAAAAATGGTCCTATACTTTAAAAATAATCTCCTTTTTGAGAAGACATTAGTTCAGAAGAGGGGGTTTTTTTCCTTTACAGGAATTGTCTAAGACTTAATTTGAACATGGCCTGCAGATTAGTAATTTTCTAAAAGCAAGCTTGCACTTATTTGTTCTATATTGATACTTTTGCTAATAAAGCATGAAATTTGTATTAATTGGGAGGACATTTTGCTTTCTACCTTTAGAGAAGTAGAAATTGAAGAGTCACTCAAGCAGATGCTTAAGCTTTACAAATGTGGAAGAGGTAACCTGCACATAAATCCATAAACAAATGCAAAGTAAATTGGTGTCCTTATCTCCAAAATGCCACTTTCCAATGGAAGTCTCTTCAAATGCCTAAACATCAACCTATGGGAGACAGATTAGATATGGTCTTTTTTTTTTTCTAGCAGACAGAACTTGAACTACTGCATAGACACTTTTTTTTAAGATTTTATTTATTTATTTGACAGAGAGAGACATAGCAAGAGAAGGAACACAAGCAGGGGGAGTGGGAGAGGGAGAAGCAGGCTTGCCGCTGAGCAGGGAGCCTGATGCGGGGCTCGATCCCAGGACCCCGGGATCATGACCTGAGCTGAAGGCAGACACTTAACGACTGAG